TCTCTCTCTCTCTCTCTCTCTCTCTCTTTCTTTCTTTCTTTCTTTCTTTCTTTCTTTCTTTCTTTCTTTCTTTCTTTCTTTCTTTCTTTCTTTCTGCCAGCAGGTTTCCTTAACATATTACAATGTTTGTAGGAAGTTATACATTTTCATATATACATATATACATTTTCTGCACAGTTTCCCTTTCATGCATATAGCATGGATGCATTTTTTAAAATGGAAATTTGCACTGCAACATTTGTAGAAATATTAACTTTGAAAGATTACTGGGTTTCAGGGTTTGGATATTGGTTTGAAAATGGAAAAAAATCAGTAAATTTGCATTAAAAATCCCCACCATATTAATTTTTCCCAAATCATAAGGTGGTGGAGAGTGGGCACAGTACACGCATTTGTCGACTTCTTAACAATATTTAGGCCATCCCTAGAATATCCAGACTGGCGTAACTCAGAACCTTTAAATATATCATATTGGTTTTGATTTACAGTTGCTCTATTTTTTTTTTCTTCAGTACCTTTAAAAAAAAGGGAGGGTAGAAATTGTGTGTGACCATACATATTTAAGATCAACTTAACTCTATTCATCCTAGGAGAAGACTTCTGTTATTCCTGATCAACTCTGTTGATCACAGGACAAGACTATTATTCCTGCCCTGTGTTATTCCTGATTGTCCCTAGTGAAATATTACACTATTATGGCTTTGGGTACATTATTCTTGACAAGTGAGAACCTTGATGTTCTTTATATTTGCACAAATTTCACTGTTTTCACTCTATCCTATCAGGTTCCACCTCTCAGGAACCTTATATGACAACTAAAATATATGAAGTGAAGTTGATTTAAGAGTTCTGTGTTCATCCAAATCCTAATACAGTTCCTTACCAGACCGCCAACAATGAAGAAAAGTATGAACACACGTCCTAAGGTGGTTTTGACCACTACATCTCCATATCCAACTGTAGACATAGTTACCATGATCAGATATAAGCATTCAAAGTAAGTCAAGCTTTGATAATTTCTTGGATGTACCCAGGGATCTCCAGAATTCTCCATCTACATAATAAATAATACAACATAAGAACTGTGGCAGATACATCAGGACATCTTCACTGACTGACATCATCCTAGTGTGTTTGTGACTGACATTTTTTTTCCGTGTGTGGATTATTTTTAATTTACATTAGTTGGGTTTGCACACCTCACAAGACTAGGCTAAAATGAGGTTGGGGCAGTGTGTGATTCAATATGCTGTAGATAGACCCAATTTTATTACAACTATAGCTTATAGACAAGCTAAAAATAAAATAAATGACATTTAGATGCCAATAAAATAATAATTATCTAAGAATATCCATATAAAGATTGAGCATATGACTCCCAGGTCAATTGTTTATGCATATTAACTGCTGATGTACAAACTTTTGCAACTTTAGATATAATAAAGTTTTTTTGTCTAATAAAAGAAAGTTAACACAGACTTCATCAGAATGACCTGGGCAATGTAACAACTCTAGGAATTGTATTTAACATGTTGTGTGAACTACACCATCTCCTTAAACTACAATATAGTTTACCTGCTTGAGCATAATATGTTATGTGAATAGAGTAACTGTGTTTTATTAACCCAGATTTAGAGTTTAGAATGCACCATGCAGTCAGTGGCTGTAATATAGAAAACTTTGAGGAGGAGCAGGATTGTTTTAATTCAGGAGGAGCCTCAACAGATGAATTTCAGTAGAAGTTCAAGGTTGCTGAACATGAGAACATTTGGGATTTTGAAAACATATTGCGGGCATCACCACAAATGGATGCCAGGAGAATACAGCCATGCCCAAAATGGCAAGAAGTCTGAGGTAAGGGCTGTGTAGTCAAAAAGAGCTTCTCCTGAATATGCAAATATCTGGCATGCGATACTCAAAAACACCCAATAAAAGCTTTCAATGATGCTTCACATGCTATCATTAGAAAGAAAAAACCACTGATCACGACCTCTGTGGCATCTGTAGAGCAAAAAATCTTGGATCCAGTGTAAGCTTAAGTTAATGTAAACTTAAGTTAAAGATAGTTTGAGTAGCATCTCATGTTGAAACGATAGAATGCAAGCAGGTTCAGAGTCAAAGTCTGTGGTTTTATTTGAGTCAAGCAACATTCAGTCAGGACATTTAGTGTGAAATCTACCTTAACTGCTAAATGACCAGACATTTGCTTTCACTGGTATTTGCATAAGGCAGTGTTTCTTGGCAACTTTAAGATATGTGGACTTCAACTCCCAGAACTCCCCAGCCAGCTTGCTGGCTGGGGAATTCTGGGAGTTGAAGTCCATACCTCTTAAAGTTGTTATGGTTGAGAAACACTGGCATAAGGGATCATGATACGTACCCAGTGAAGAAATCCTGCAGCGGTGAGCCAGGTACTGAGAAATACAGCTAGTAGTTTGGACAGTTTGATTGCAGTACTGAACATGCAAGGAAAAGGATGATATGAATGAGTTTCCAAGTAACAGGTGCAACTTTCACCTCCATGTATCCCTTTGAGGGTCTTCTAAGTGAGGTGCTGTATAATGAATGTTCTTAACTCAAGTGGACATTGATTCATTCATTCATTACATTTCCCATCCTGTTTCTGGCCCTGTAGATCCCACAATGGCCCATGGAGGGAGACAACTAATAATCATATCATAAACGCACGGTTTTCACTTCCCTTCCTGCTACTGAAAATGGAATCAATGCATTAGAGGTCTTTTATCAGCCCATTACGGTAGTGTTTGAATTGCTACATTTCATGTAGAGTATGCAGTTTGTTATAGGACTCAGTTCTTTGTAGCTCAATTCTTTCAACCTCTATTACCACAAGCATTCTCTTTTAATGAAACACTACTACAAAGCAATCTTGAGGGTATAATTGTGTATATAGATTTGTGTGTTTTTCCCAGTAGGATTGCTGACAAGGATCGAGAGAAAATTCCACAAGGGAAATCTGAAATCTAACTGAAGCCATCAGAGCCCAAGGGTGAAGTACCTTAAATAGCCCAACTTTTACAGACTTCCCACATCTTTTACAACTACCACATCTAAACCCAGAAAAAAATGCAGCGCTGTATCTACTTCGTCGAAGGCTTTCATGGCCGGAATATGATGGCTGATGTAGGTCTTCTGGGCTGTGGATTGTCCTCTGAAGATGCCGGTCACAGACGCTGGAGAAATGTTAGGAATCAAAACTTCCAGAACATGGCCACACAGCCCAGAAGACCCACATCAGCCATTGGATCTACTCTTTGATAATGTAAGGACAGATAACATTGCATTATCACAACACACTGTGGGTGGAGTTACAAACCATATAAGCCTGTTCTGGCCAAACCAAGTCCTCTTGCTGAGTTTGTGTTGACCAAGAAGTAGCTGGGATCAACAAAGGCATGGTAGAGGCCTAACCACAAGCCAGAATCAATGGAGAGCCATGAGCAAGCAGTAAAACAGACTTGCATGCTGAACTGTTGGGCAAACATGAAAACAGCTGGGAGTTGTTAAAGAGGTAACTCTGAGCAGACTTCAGACTAATAACTGAGTGGTCTAAGTGGGAACTACATGCAGGAGAGTGCAGAATGAGGCTCAAAAGGCTTGGACAACCAGGCAACCCAGCAGAAAATTGAATTCATTTTTTTTTTAAACGGGAAAATGCAGGAGGGATTAATTAACCTTCAAGAGATTCCTGCATAGGAAGCCTTAAAGACTATTTTATTTAGATGATCAGGGTCATGCAATTCAGCTAACCTGTGAAGGACCAGCAGCCCTCTCTTGAAATTAGGACAAAGGACATCAACATACTCTGAGCTAGAGAAAGACTCTGATTTTGCTCCAGCTAGGCGGTGCACAAGAGCTGGCTGGAAACAGAAAGAGACAGACAGACAGAGACAGAGACAGAGATGGGACTGATGACTCAAAGAAAGTTTGGCTTACCCACTAGTGGTGATTTGGAGGAACTGTAATATTTTGGGAAGTTCCATCAATCTCAGTGCTTTTAAGAAGCGTAAGCCTATGAAGAGGAAGAAATAGGTGAAATTCTGTTTTTTGTTTCTGTTTAGGTGATTGCAGTATGGCCACAACATTTAGGCTGAAATAATGCATACCTATTTAACTAATTTCTTGGGCAGTAGGTGGCATTATTATTATTATTATTATTATTATTATTATTATTATTATTATTATTATTATTTTACAAAGAAATAAAACCCAAGTGCATTTGATATTTGATGGTTGCCATAAATATATATTTGGTCACATTTAATGCCATATTAAATATGGCGTATTACAGAAAATTTGAAATTAATGTATTCCACAAATACTTGCTGAGTTGAATCAAAATGGCCCCCACTTGACCAACCCATTTTTTGACAGTTTAAAAGAGGGGATCCTTTATTCACTGGGGATTCACTTGTCCTTAACAAAATCTTCCTTCTAATTTCTCAGAAGTTTTAGAAAAAAAACCCCATAAACTTTTGATCTTCTTTCTAATTCTCAGGATGTTTTAGAATTTCCTTCAAATTTCTCTTGATGGAGTTTCTATGCATGCTTTATTGCTGGCATTGGCAGAGAATTCTGCTTCTGGTAATATTTCCATTTTATCTCTCCCTTACTTTGGTTGTCACTACTACCCAGCCTGAAAACGTTCAGTGGAAGGAGGTCCCATTTCCTTGGAATTTAATGAACAGGACACCAGCACACTGTCTTTGTCCACCTGATTGCAGTAAAAGTAATTCAAGAATGCCACAGTTCACCTATGAGGATGTCATTAACATTTTCTTTTGAAAGAAATCTCAAAAGGAAATTATGTTTTCATCGAATTACCTACGAAGCAATAAGAAAAAAATCCAGGAAGTGTTTTCTTCATGGCACTGATTAAAACCCTTCCTGACAACCACTGGAGCAACAACATTGATGGTTGGCAAGTTCAGCCTCTGCAAGGTGTCAGACTTTTTTGCTACTCTTTCTCTTTTAGCACAATTCCAACATTACCATTGACAAAAACTAAATAAGTGCTAGTTGTATATTGATACAGAAGGCAACACTACTAGAGGATCAGTGGGAAAAAATGGTTTTCTCTCCAATTTTTAGCAGCTAAATCTCTAATAATAGCCCTTGGAGAAGGGCTTCAAAGGAAATTCTTATGGTACGACGTTGTGCTATTACTCAAGTAGCATCTAAGTCCTTGGACTGAGATCTCCCTAACTTGGTTGGCTGCTGGCTAGCCATTATAGAGAAAGAGTTCAGCTCCTAACTACAACCTGGCTCAGAAGTGAGGCCATGAAGTAACGGCTTTATTTATTTGTGTAAATTGTGTCATTTGACTTGCATACAACTCTTTCATTTTTTTGGTCAGAAAAATTCGCTCTGTAATCCAATACTGTATTTTTAAAAACATGCTAAACAACTTTTACATTTTAATGTATACATTTTTTACATTTACATTTTTTACCATTTTTTTACATTTACAAATGCATACATTTTACACGTATTCCACCTTTCCTTCAGGAAGCAGCATACGTAGCAATCCCTCCTCCATTTTTTCCCCCCAAAAACAAACCTGCTGAGAAAGAATCACTGGCTGAAAGTCACCCCAACAGCATCCATACATGAGATAGGTTTCCTTGGTCCTAGTCCAATGCTTTAACCATCACACCACAGCTTTGTTAAGCTTACAAACTTACCTAAATTTGGCATTACGTGTTTTGATCCAAAACAGGAATGGCCATTTTTGGGTGATCAAGGCTTCATTTAATTTTGTGGGTGGGGCCACATCACCAAGGCTACCAAATCTTCGGGGGGGGGGGCCCCATCTAACCTTTTAGGCTATTGAAGCTCAGATACAGCAGTTCTACACATCACATACTTTTGGGGAGATGGTTTAGGAAGCTCTTAGTTTTTTAATGGTGTGATTCTTATTGGAGAGCTTATATTACCCTTTGCATATATTTCCCATCTCAGAAGGGCTCCAGATTCTATGTGTTTTCAGCCATCTTTGTCAAAGAAAGTTCAAGGCCCACAGAAGGGGTCTTGGCAGCCACGTCCCAAATTTCTGCTTTGCCTCTCTCTGGTTTATGACAATTCATAGACCTGTACGAGTTTGCTATGTACTTACCAAGCCAATTTCTTCCTAAATAGAAGGCCATACAGACTGGAGTTATGGTGAAGAAATCCACAATGGAATTAAGTTCCACCCAGAACATTAGCTTGTCACTTGCTGCCAAAAACTAAGAAAGAAACACACACACACACACAAAAAACCCACAGCACTGCACAAAGTCAGAGATCTCTTATCTGCCTGTCTGGTCCTTTTGCTTCACGATCTGATCGGACTTCAGAAAAGAAGAGGTAATGTTAAATGAGGTCCCACAGCCTGAGTGATATGGTCATTTTTCCCCAGGTCTACCTTAAATTTAATGTGGGAAATTGATATTATTTCATTATTATAATTTAATACTTTAATTATTAAAAATTATTTTGTGCATATTCCCATTTTTCCAACATTCTGCTCATTCTATTCCATATCTTCACCAGCTTGCAAGATTTCTTTCAAAGCATTTTTTCTGTATATTTCTCTTAACTGACACAATTTTGTACTCATTATAACTTATGGGTACCTTTTTGTCAAAGCAATGTG